GGGGGGGGGGGGGACGACACATGCATTCTGTCCATAACAGATGGGTTCAGCATTTAGAACTCCAGTGAAATGTACTTTTGTCTTCATAACACGTACCCACATCCTTGGTTCTACCATCTGAATATGCAAGGTGAAAGGATGCTGAAAATCCAATCTGCAATTTCAGACTTGGTATGGGGTGGGGAGGATTTTACACAACCTCAACCTCTGGCCAAGCCGTGCCCCCTGGGTCCTGTGGAGATGCCAGCTGGGCCTCCAACCCATGCCTTCCCCAGAAGGATTGTGACGCATCTCTTATCCTCTGCGTTCCAGATTTCCCTTTCCCCTTTGCCTGGGTGACTGGCTACCTGGCCATCCTTGTGGGGGCGGGAATGACCTTCATCGTTCAGAGCAGCTCTGTGTTCACGTCTGCTATGACCCCTCTGATCGGTGAGTTTCTCCCTGGGTCTCCCTCTGGCCGACATTACCATCTTCTGTCATCCTCTGGGGCTGATGCTGTGGGCTTTGTATTTTCACCCCCCCAGGTATCGGTGTGATATCCATTGAGAGGGCGTATCCACTCACGCTGGGCGCCAACATCGGTACCACCACCACCGCCATCTTGGCCGCCTTAGCTAGCCCAGGCAGTACTTTGAAGAGCTCGCTCCAGGTCAGGAAATGCTGCATGGGGCAGGGGCTCTGTGGGTGGGATCCAACCCTATCCATGGTCTTGTAAGCAGATGGTTTTTAACCAAGAAACCAAGCCAGGCGTTTCTCTGTTATGTCCAAAACTGTGATGTGGAGAAGCCATGGAGAGACAGATTTGAGAACAAAGCCATCTTCTCTTTAGAGTGGTAGTCAGACTCCCATCACCAGTGGTTGTTTAGACAAAGGTGGGGTGGCCATTTTACTAGAGGTGGAAAGGGTATTCAGGAAGCATAGATACCACTTCCCGTCTCCTTGCCCTCCTCTTGGTGAACTCTGACTGGACACTGGGAGGTCACCTGTGTCTTGAGCCTGGCATTGAGAAGAATCAGGGGGACCTGCCTTGCCTGGATCAACTAGGTGCCCTTGGGCAAGATGACCTTTGGTGTTTGAATCACTGTGCCACCATTTACACATGAAGTGCCCTTAGGTGACCTAACCTTTGAGCATCAATTCCCTCATCTGAAAAATGGAAACCGTAATCCCTATCTCATCAGGATTATTATAAGGATCTGATGAGGCACTGTCTAAAGCAATGCTGTTGATAGAAATATAGAGTGAGTATAGAATATGTGAACCACCCACAAAATCTGAAATTTTTTAGTAGCCACAGTTTCAAAAGGTAAAAAAGGAACAGGGAGATTAATTTTAATAATGTGTTTGATTGAACCCATTATCATTTCAACATGTAATTGATCTAAAAATATGGTGATATTTTACATTCCTTTTTGGACTAAGTCTTTGAAATCCAGTGTGTATTTTATGCTTATGCCACATCTCAATGGATCGTGACTAATGTATCGGACAGGGCTGGTCCAAAGCCCTTAGCATCATGCTTGGTACCTGGTGGGCACACCTAGCAAAGTGCGAAGTGCATGGCCTCTGGAGACAGGCTACCTGGGGTTGAATCTCATCTCCCACCTGTGTGACTCTAGGAAAATATCTTGACCTCGTGGTGCCTCAGTTTCCTCCTACATGAAATGGAGATAATGTTGCCAACTCAGGATATTTTTTGAGGATTGAAGTAATCCATATGTGCTTGGAATTGTCGCCTCCCCCATAGTAAGCACTCTATAAACATCAGCTGCTGCTGCTGCTATTATCTTTATTAACTGTAGCCATCTTTCCTTGTCTCTCCCCTCCCTGAATTAGGGCCACTGAGCCAAGAAAGCCAGCTATCTTGCACACCTTTCCTTCTGCCCCACCAGCTCTTAACTGCTCAGCTGGAAGCAGCAGAGTCAAGGCACTGGGTGGCAGCGGGCACATTCATGAAGTTCATTGTTAGATTTGGCCTAAAGGACTTCAGGCCCTGAAAACTGAGCTGTGATTCAGCCTGTCACCTCCCTTGCCCTCCCTCGCCCTCCCTCCCTTACCCACCCCAGACACATAGTAGGACCTCAGGTAATACGGGTCCCTCTCTGGGCTGAGCTATGAAGACGAGGAAGCCTTAGGCCTCCGCTACTAGACGACGCGCTCTTCTTCCCGACGCCACTGTGCAGCAGACCCGTTCACCTGTCCAACCTCTTGCGTTTCAGATCGCCCTGTGCCACTTTTTCTTCAACATCTCAGGCATCTTGCTGTGGTACCCAATCCCGTTCACCCGCCTGCCCATCCGCCTGGCCAAGTGGCTGGGCAGCATCTCAGCTAAGTACCGCTGGTTTGCCGTCTTCTACCTGGTCACCTTCTTCCTCCTGATCCCTCTGGCAGTGTTTGGCCTCTCGCTGGTCGGCTGGCCGGTGCTGGTGGGTGTGGGAGCGCCCATCATCTTTGTGGTCTTCCTGGTGGTGGTGGTCGGGCTCCTGCAGTCCCGCTGCCCGCGCGTCCTGCCCCACAAGCTCCATAACTGGAAATTCCTGCCGCTGTGGATGCACTCGCTGAAGCCCTGGGACAAGCTCATCACCACGTTCACCGGCTGCTGCCAGAGCCTCTGCTGCCGAATCTGCTGTCTGACGTGTGGCTGCCCCAAGTGCTGCCACTGCCCCAAGTGCTGCTGCTGCAGCAAGTGCTGCCGCCACTGCAGCAAGTGCTGCCACTGCAGCAAGTGCTGTGAAGACCTGCAGGAGGTGCAGGACGTCCCCATTAAGTCCCCCGAGGCTTTTGCTAACATGGCCATGGACAAAGAGGCCCAGGACGGGGTCCCCAAGTCCGAGGTGGATGCCTCGGGCACCAAAACCATTTCCAGCATCACAGCCTTGTAGGTAGGAGCTGCCTGGAGGCCGGAGGAGGACCCCACCTCCACCTCTTCCTCCACCTCGGGAGGATTTGTTCCCCGTTGAGAAATGACATCCGTCCCGACTCTCATTCCCTGGCCCAGCGTATCAGCCCGCACAGTAGTTTCATCTCAGCCCCATGCTCCCTGGGTCTTCCAGGCCTGGAAAGGCACAGAACAACACTGAAAGAGAATCAGATAGTGAAACCTGGCCAGAGAGGTGATCACACCCGCTGCCACACACAGCTGGGTTGGTCAGTAGGACTTTTTTTCAGACCATCCCCTTGCAAAGGAAAAGCCCCAAGGGAGGAATTTATGGCAGCTTCTTTGTCAAAGGTGCATATACATGTACACTTTTCTTTATTGTGATCCAGCTCAGACTTCTCTGTTTTACCAAAGACCAGCTTCAACCAAGAGCAGTTGCCCCCATGTGTCCCAGAGCAGCCCGATTCAGGGGAAATGGTGTAATTGTTGGGGACTTGGGTGAAGACCATAGATGTGGGCTTTTCCCCCTTCTCAGTGCTCCCCACGTCCCCTGTCAGGGTTTTCTCACCCGGGCAGGGAGGGTTAGTCCCAGTACTTTACCTGCTGTGCCCTCAAGTTTCCAGGATGGGAGCCACATCTGAGCTACAGAGAGGGTCTCAGAGAGCTTTGGCTCACCCTGCGCTCCAGTCATAAGAAGAGAGTGGTCCTATCCCTGAGCTGGCAGATGGAGGATGAGAGCTGGGAAATGGGGAACATTTGGGGGAGATGTTTCATCTGCCACAAAGGCCTCGGGTGCTTCTTAACCTGGCTAATTTAGAAACCAAATTGGCAGACATTCTGGCTAAAGCTTAGTGCTGATAAAAATCGTCCCTGCTGAGTCTTTCTCGGAATAAGGTACGCAGGTTCGGAGTCCCCTCCACTGTGCCCCCTTGAATCATAGGAACCACCTGAGCATGGAACAACTCTGTGCCTCTCTCTGTCCTATGCGAGATGACTGTCTGGGTCAGCTTTCGGTGGTCAACTTCTGTCCATACATCCACCCACCCGTCCACCCATCTAAGCCAGGACCTCTTTCCCAGCATTCTCCCATACTCCCATAGATAGAAGAACTTTGATTTTCTGCCCGCTCTCCATGCCTGCAAAGCTCAAAACTGAGGGCAGAAACCAGGGCATGTCATCAAGTGGCAGTGGGGTCCTTGTGTGTCTGTGGGACCAAGAAGTGTGTTCCTTCTTGCCCCAAGTGCCCTCTCTGTGCCTTCAAGAGCCCCCTGTGGTATGTATACCTCCTCTTTCCCTTGCTTCTCATCCTCAACAAGCTTCAACCAAGTCTGGGAAAAGGGGTCAGTGCAGACGTGCTCCCAGATCCTAGCTTCTCCATCACTTTCATAGGTTGTAGTACCAAACTGAGCCTTCCCCTGACCTTCCCTGTGTAGATACGGATTCCCAAACAGAGCTATTGATACTCTATATTTATACTCATGCAATGTACAGCGTTTTTCATAGGTTATATAGTAAATAGTTCTGTGATTTGAAGCGCTCTCATTTGGAAACAAGGCTGGCTTCTACTAAGAAAGACCAACTTTGTATATTTTGTAATCCTGCCTTTTATATTGCTACTGCAGCCACACCTGTGTCACACAACCTGTAAATATGTAAGTTAAACCTGGGCAGGACTGTGGCCTTCTTTGTACTCTGATGATTTTTAAAAATTGGATCCTTGTACCTGCGTTGATTTTTTTTTTTTTTTTTTTTTTTTTTTTTACTGGTTGTGGGAAATGAAAAATAAAAAATGATAATCAAACCCAAAAGGAGCAGGTTGTTTTCAATTACAGGGAAATGAGAGCCTCCTGGATCTATTTCCTAAAAATTTGAGGTCTTTCTCATTTAATATCACTACTGACCAACAGCAGCAGCTATATAATTTGTGGAGCCCCTCGTTCAAAAAGTGGGAAAAGTGCCGTCATAAATACTACAAATATCAAGCTTTCCTTTCTTCCACGGTTTCTCTCTTGATTTGTCTTTTTTAAAAATTGCTATTTAATGCTATACTAAGTTGAAATTTAGAAATTATTAGCATGATTTTTTTTCTTTAAAATCTTTATTGGAGTATAATTGCTTTACAATGTTGTGTTAGTTTCTGCTGTATAACAAAGTGAATCAGCTGTATGTATACATATATCCCCATATCCCCTCCCTCTTGCATATCCCTCCCTCCCTCCCTACTCCACCCCTCTAGGTGGTCACAAAGCACCCAGCTGACCTCCCTGTGCTATGCGGCTGCTTCCCACTAGCTATCTATTTTATATTTGGTAGTGTAGATATGTCCATGCCACTCTCTCACGTCATCCCAGCTTTCCCTTCCCCCTCCCTGTGTCCTCAAGTCCACTCTCTACATCTGTGTCTGGGTTGATCAGAACAATTTTTTCTTTTTTTTTTAGATTCCATATATATGTATTAGCATACAGTATTTGTTTTTCTCTTTCTGACCTATTTCATTCTGTATGACAGACTCTAAGTCCATATGCCTCACTACAAATAATTTCGTTCCTTTTCATAGCTGAGTAATATTCCATTGTGTATATATATGCCACATCTTCTTTATCCATTCATCTGTCGATGGACACTTAGGTTGCTTCCATGTCCTAGCTATGGTAAATAGAGCTGCAATGAACATTGTGGCACATGACTCTTTCTGAACTATGGTTTTCTCAGGGTATATGCCCAGTAAGTGGTATTGCTGGGTCGTATGGTAGTTCTATTTTTCGTTTTTTACGGAACCTCCATACTGTTCTCCAGAGTGGCTGTATCAATTTACATTCCCACCAACAGCACAAGAGGGTTCCCTTTTCTCCACACCCCCTCCAGCATTTATTGTTTGTAATTTTTTGATGATGGCCATTCTGACTGGTGTGAAGTGATACCTCATTGTAGTTTTGTTTTGTTGTTTTGCAGTACGTGGGCCTCTCACTGTTGTGGCCTCTCCCGTTGCGCAGGCTCAGCGGCCATGGCTCACGGGCCCGGCCACTCCGCAGCATGTGGGATCTTCCGGGACCGGGGCACGAACCTGTGTCCCCTGCATTGGCAGGCAGAGTCTCAATCACTGCGCCACCAGGGAAACCCCTCATTGTAGTTTTGATTTGCATTTCTCTAATGATAAATGATGTTGAGCATTCTTTCATGTGTTTGTTGGCAATCTGTATATCTTCTTTGGAGAAATGTCTATTTAGATCTTCCGCCCATGTTTGGATTGGGTTGTTTGTGTTTTTGGTATTGAGCTGCATGAGCTTCTTGTATATTTTGGAGATTAATCCTTTGTCAGTTGCTTCATGCAAATATTTTCTTCCATTCTGAGGGTTGTGTTTTCATCATGTTTATGGTTTCCTTTGCTATGCAAAAGCTTTTAAGTTTCATTAGGTCCCATTTGTTTATTTTTATTTCCATTTCTCTAGGTGGTGGGTCAAAAAGGGTCTTACTGTGATTTATGTCATAGAGTGTTCTGCCTATGTTATCCTCTAAGAGTTTTATAGTGTCTGGACTTACATTTAGGTCTTTAATCCATTTTGAGTTTATTTTTGTGTATGGTGTTAGGAAGTGTTCTAATTTCATTCTTTTACATGTAGCTGTCCAGTTTTCCCAACACCACTTATTGAAGAGGCTGTCTTTTCTCCATTGTATATTCTTGCCTTCTTTATCAAAGATAAGGTGACCATATGTACGTGGGTTTATCGCTGGGCTTTCTATCCTGTTCCGTTTATCTATATTTCTATTTCTGTTTTTGTGCCAGTACCATACTGTCTTGATTACTGTAGCTTTGTAGTATGGTATGAAGTCAGGGAACCTGATTCCTCCAGCTCCGTTTTTCTTTCTCAAGATTGCTTTGGCTATTCGGGGTCTTTTGTGGTTCCATACCACTTGTGAAAGTTTTTGTTCTAGTTCTGTTAAAAATGCCATTGGTAGTTTGATAAGGATTGCGTTGAATCTGTAGATTGCTGTGTGTACTATAGTCATTTTCACAATGTTGATTCTTCCAATCCAAGAACATGGTATATCTCTCCATCTGTTTGTATCATCTTTCATTTCTTTCATCAGTGTCTTATAGTTTTCTGCATACAGGTCTTTTGTCTCCTTAGGTAGGTTTATTCCTAGGTATTTTTTTCCTTTTGTTGCAGTGGTAAATGGGAGTGTTTCCTTCATTTCTCTTTCAGATTTTTCATCATTAGTGTTTAGGAATACAAGAGATTTCTGTGCATTAATTTTTTATCCTGCTACTTTACCAGATTCATTGATTAGCTCTAGTAGTTTTCTGGTAGCATCTTTAGGATTCTCTCTATATAGTATCATGTCATTTGCAAACAGTGACAGCTTTACTTCTTCTTTTCTGATTTGGATTCCTCTTATTTCTTTTTCTTCTCTGATTGCTGTGGCTAAAACTTCTGAAGCTGTGTTGAATAATAGTGGTGAGAGTGGGGATCCTTGTCTTGTTCCTGATTTTAGAGAAAATGATTTCAGTTTTTCACCCTTGAGAATGATGTTGGCTGTGGGTTTGTCATATATGGCCTTTATTATGTTGAGGAAAGTTCCCTCTATGCCTACTTTCTGGAGAGTTTTTTTCATAAATGAGTGTTGAATTTTGTAGAAAGCTTTTTCTGCATCTATGGAGATTATCATGGTTTTTATCCTTCATTTGTTAATATGGTGTGTTCCATTGATTGATTTGTGTATATTGAAGAATCCTTGCATTCCTTGGATAAACCCCACTTGATCATGGTGTATGATCTTTCTAATGTGCTCTTGGATTCTGTTTGCTAGTATTTTGATGAGGATTTTTGCATCTATGTTAATCAGTGATATTGGTCTATACGTTTCTTTTTTTTGTGACATCTTTGTCTGGTTTTGGTATCAGGGTGATGGTGGCCTCATAGAAGGAATTTGGGAGTGTTCCTCCGTCTGCTATATCTTGGAAGAGTTTGTGAAGAATAGGTGTTAGCTCTTCTCTAAATGTTT